GGAGGCCGGAGCTGGAATTGAACCCGGTACCTCTGCACTGTGAAGTCAACGTGCTAACCACTGGACTACCAGGCCGCCATATATATATATATATCTATATATATATCTCAGGATGTGCTGTATTGTATTTTTATCCTTACAAAATGAGGTGTTGTTGATCTAGTAATATTTTGACTTTGAAGGTGTTGCGCATTCAGTCAAGTAATATAGTTAAGAGGCAGACAACCACAAAATACACACCATAGTGGGACTGGGAGGGGAATTCTGACATGTCCACATGTTCTTGGCCTCTTTGTGAGTTGAAACTGAGAGGAAAAATAAAACAAAAAAACTATCACAGCAGCATAAACTGTAGACACAAGGTTTGTATTCCAGACCTGCTTGGGGACCAAAGCATTACCTCTAACTGTAAAGAATTGCCATTCATTATAACAATTATTCATTCTTTATTGCTCTCTCATTTTTGGTTGAATTGAATGATATCTTACCTGCTGAGGCCAGACTCGTTTTGATTGGAACTCTCTGTGGCTGCAGTGGAGAATAAAATAAGGTAGAAATACAAAAAATAGACAGCAATGAAAATACATGTGTGTACATACTGTGTCGATAAAAGTGCCTCTGCCGGATGGTTTGTGAGGTGTGGCACGGATGGGGCCTGCAACCTTCACCCCCTCGTTTTGTCTTGCGGCAGTTTTTTGATGACTCTTTGTAACAGACACGCGTTGTGGCTGCAGAAATAATCAATTATTACAATGCTAACAGACATATAAAAAACTGTACAGAATCTCTTAATTTTATGTATAAAACAATATCATGACAACAATAATACACAGCAGCAACAATTAGAAGAAAACTTCTCCACTGTGCGACTAATCAAGGTTATCTTCATGTATTTCATCCTATCTTAAGAAACAGAATAAAGATTCATCTAGAGCCCATAAACTCACAAACATGGCAAAAGATTGGGAGCGTGGAGTTGCAAGTGTTTGGCTGGAGATGCACAGGCCCTCATTACAGACGATACTTTGCAGTGATGTGGGATCGGGCTTAAATTCCACAGCTTTGTCTGAAAAACATTTTTAGTTCCATTTAGAAAAAAAGCTAACTAAGTAGGTCATAATGTCAATGTCCACTTGAAAGCACGATAAAGCACTATTCAAATCAGATAATGGATTCATGCTGTCACTAAGCTAACTCGTTTTACTTTTCTTAAGTCTAAATTGAAATTGTATCTGACTCAGGGGCATGGTACAAAATCCATATGATGTGCCTTTTATGCATACTGTGGGATGTGCACAGGATGCCATCCCACAGTATGCTAGCATAAAGACTGCATCATTTTAGCATTTTACCCATCTCAGTCGACTTTCACACTTGTCCATTATGGCATAAAATGTTGCCAAAAAGAAATTCCAGTTGCACATGGCTTGTTAGCATTGTCCCTGTTAGCATTGTTAGAAATTAGTTGGGTCAGAGTGAAAGTGGATCCAGACTCCAAAAAAATCTGTCACAAATGGCAACGTTTTATCATGTTTTCACTGAATTATATTTCCTTACCTGCTGCTGCCAAACTCTTTTTGATCATGAATGTTTGTGGCTGTGGCGGAGAACAGAAAGACAGTAAGAATACACAGAATGAACAGGACTGAAAAGAGCTGCGTGTACACACTGTATTGAGAGAAGTGCCTCTTCCAGATGGTTTTTGAGGTGTGGCACGGACAGGGCCTGCAGCTTTCACCCCCTCGTTCTGGATGGCAGCAGCTTTTTGATGACTCTTTGTAACAGACACTTGTGGCTGCAGAAATACGAAATTCTTACTCTGTAACTAAAAGTCCTGCCAAATTTGAATGTTTAAAATAAATACGTTATCGCCAAGTTTACACAATTGTGAAAAACCATGTTTTTGTCTTTGCTCACAATCGTTTAAGCTTGTCTCCTGAATGTTTAAAAATTTCCATGCAACAAGAAAAGTACAGATGAATGTCTGATGAACGTCTGGCAACCATTTGGTGAAAATTTGTGACTTGAAACAAACCCTGACGAGAACGCAACATTTGCTACCTTTGCAAAATGTTCACCGCTCAGTGCGACAGGGACTTCAGAGCTCTTGTATATTCAAGGAGTAACCTGTTTGTGCATTTTTCTGTACAGACAATTTGAAATAATGGGCTGTTTTCGAATAAAGGAATGGAAATCATTTTTTTGTTAATCCAATTTGAAAAAATAATTGACCAAATAATCAATTATTAAAATAATTGCTAGTTACAACCCTAATGAGCCTACATTATAGTGACTTTATTAGTCATTTGCTGAACACATTCTTGGGAACGGGGGTTTTGGGTGGTAGTCTTAACTCTAACTTTAATGTTTAAGTTGCACCTGAGTACAAGTATCACAGGAACAGCCAAACTATACAAAAAAAGTGTGATTTACAGTCTGAAAAAATAAGGTATAATTTTATAAAAACAAGAAGAAGAAAAGACTCCAAGAGTCCACAAACTCACAGACATGGCAAAAGATTGAGAGCGTGGAGTTGCAACTGATTGGCTGGAGATGCACACGCCCACATTACGCAAGATACTTCGCAATGAGGCGGAATTGGGCTGGAATTCTGCACCTTTGTCTGGAAATCATTCGGATTTTTATTAAAAAAAAAAAAAAAAAAAAAGGTAGCAAGGTCACCATGTCGATGTCCATTTGAAAGCTTGATGGAGCACTATTCAAATCAGATAATGCAGTCGTGCCCGTCACTAGCCAACAGGATTCCCACCCCCATAATTCTCATTTGAAACCCTATCAGAATAAAGGGCAAAGTGTGAATTCGATATCGATGTGCCTCTGTGCCTTCTGTACTCAGGTTGTCACCCTGCAATATGTTACCATACAGGCTGTTAGCAAGTTGGCATTTTACCCATCTCAGTAGACTTTAGTACCGGTAAATTGAGTCTTGAAATGTTGCCAAATTGAAATTACGGGTAAACATGGCTTGTTAGAATGCTAGCTGTTGGCATTGTCAAAATTTCCATTTAGATGCGGCCCAAACGTCCCACTGGTTTACCCGCCGGTTGAGTAGAGGCACCTGCGGCAACATTTTTCCTTTCTGGACATGGAATTGACATCTCATGTTGAGGCCAGTGTGATGTGCAAGTGTTTTGATACAACAAGCCCAACTACAAAAAAATAAAAATATAAAAAAATCTGTCCGAAATGGCAGGTTACAGTTAAGCAACAGATAGCATTTCAACACATCTCGAATATTTTTCATGGCAAGAATAAAATGTATGTGTTTGTACTGCTCAAAACAAATCAATTTAAGGGGGTGTCACGCTCAGAAATCATTATCAGCTGCAGACCTGATGTGATGGCAAAGCAATAGTTGTGCCTTGCTTCCAAATACGGTGGGCTATTAATCTGTGTTGGTTGACAGATTGCTTAATGCCATGTAGTTAATCCACTGGTGTCAAACTCAAGGCTCCAGGGCCACATCTGGCCCATCACATCCCTATATGTGGGCCATGAAAACAAATCAAGTGTGTCAATCATTTTTGTTTGTCAATTGGTCGTGTGTAACTACGGAACAGTATGAGTGAGGGGTTAAAACAATCTCCAAACATAAATCCTTTCATCTTATATTGTCAGAGATGAAAGTGGAATTTTCTGAAAATCCCCAAAAAAAAAAAAAAAAAAAAAAATTATATATATGTGTGTGTGTGTGTGTGTGTGTGTGTGTGTGTATATACACACACGTGCGCACACACACTTGGCCGATCACGCATGAATTAGTTGACACAAAACGCTGTTCAAATACTCGACATTCAATGATTAATCTTCCTTTTGTGTGCACACGTGCACCCTTTGTGGCTTTCGTTCTCGACGAAATTTCGAAATCACCGAGATATGGCGAGGCCATGAGAATGCGAGGCGAGGCTATTGCTGTTGTGGCGACGCCACTCAAGCTAAACGAGTCTCGATAGTCCGCTGCTCTCTGCTGTGCGTGCTTCAGCGCGAACATGTACACAAGCTCGTCTTTTGATTTCAACCAATCAGCGCCGACGCAACGACGTCACACACGACGTCACACAGACGTCACACACGACAACAGCTAAGCTAAACTAGCCGAGGCAACACTCGAAGTCGGACGAACACGTTTTTCTGCCAATCTGTGTTTCCCTTTTTGTCCAAATATATTTTTTTACGACAACTGTTTTGTCCACGGTGTCTTTTATTCGTTCCCATGGTGTTTAGCAAGTGTGTTTATAAAGAGACGAAAATCTCTTTCCTGTTACTAGTGTTAGTGTCTCAACATGGCTACGCTCGTGAAAGCAAAACAACGAACTCAAACGCGTCTTTGTTCAATGATGTCAACTAATATCCGGATTAATTTTTCGGCAAATTTTCCTCAATTCTCCGGAGAGATTTTCATAAAAATTTGAAAAACCCGTAATTCCGGGAAAATCCGGAGGACTTTCATCTCTGTATTGCACAAATGTTCTGGTTAGCAAACCCCTTTTTCGCAGTAACTTCACCTACAGTTGAGCAAAGGATTATCCTTGACTTCTGATTACAAAACGAGTTATCCATCAATTTTTGGGGTGCACGTTACAATATGAGGTGGCAATAAAACATTTATATGTCATAATGGCCCTCTGATTGAAACCATAACTACAATGTGGCCCGCAACAGAACTTAGTTTGAAACCCTTGAACTGGATCTTAAAAAAAAAAAAAAAAAAAAAAAAAAAAACACTGATAAACATTCTTTGACCATGATTTGTGAGGTAGTTTTTGTACATATAATGAAATCGGCTTGGTAAATTGTCTTGGCCAAATATTTACTTTTACTCTATGAATGGGCAAGAAATGGTGAACACACATTACGTTGACTTGAATTGAGCGAAAACGTTTTTAGAGGGACGTAAACAGCAGCTGATGAAGATATGCACAGTTAAAATATAACTTCATTTCGTTCCACTTTAAGAATGTTTACATTGAATTATGTACATCTTACCTGCTAGTGCCAGACTCTTTGTGATTGGAACTCTCTGTGGCTGCATGGGAGAATAGAAGGAAGGAAAAAGAAACAGGATTGGACATGCACAGTAGGTTAATTGAACACTGTAAATTGTCCCAAGATGGATGGATGGAAATTATGTTAAAATGCATGCTTTTTTTTTGGGTGGGGGAGGCCATACTAAAAAATGAGACCAAGACAAACACTTTCAAAACTTTTTCCACCATTAACATGGCCTACAACTAACTGATACCTTTGAACAATGAGATCTGATAACTGTGAAAGTTCTCTGTGGGCCTTGGTTTGAACTGAATGATCGGACGACAAAAATGTCAGGAAAAGCATTCAGTAACACCTGGGGTTAATAAGAGCCATTTTAAATGGTGGCAAACCTGAGTTTGAATGTGATGAAATAATTATTTTCTGACCACAGCCACAGCCCCAATTCTGAGTGTGTGCACACTTGTGCATTGCACATTATTTCCTTTGTTTATTTTTCCTACTACTCTCTATAATAGGTCCACCTCCCCCCGCCCCCCCTGCCCCCCGCCCAAAATTGTGCTGGGCAGGTCACAAAAAGTCTCATTTTTTTTGCATCACCCCAAAACAAAAACAAAAACCAAAAAAACCCCCCAAAAAAACCCTAACTAAAACCCTCATTTGAACAGGGGTATATAGACCTTTTATATGCACTATAAGTACATACCGTGTCCATATAAGTGCCTTTTCTAGATGCGTTTTGAGGTGTGGCATGCACGGAGCCTGCCGTCTTCAACCCCTCGTTCTGGCTCACAGTGGCTTTTTGATGACTCTTAACAACAGACACTCGTAGCGGCTACAGAAATAAGACGTTACATTACAGGCTGGATCGGGTATAACAATTAATAATAATAAAAAAATAGTCATAATAATTACAGTAATAATAATAATAATCATCATCATCCAGAGTCCATCAACTCACAAACGTGGCACAGGATTGAGAGTCTGAAGTTGCAAATGGCTGTCTAGAGACATGCACACCCTCATTGTGCAGGATACTGAGCAAGGCGGCGTGATCGAGCTGGAATCCCTCAGCTTTGTCTGAAAAACATTTTCCATAAATTACTGGGCATGAACAGAAAGACCTTGTCAGTGCATGAATGAAATGCCAATTTAGTACAGTCATTTAGTGTGCCATTCGTTGTGTGCGTGTGTTATATTTTAATTCATTCATTCATGAACCTCTCGACCTGATACAACAGCTCAGATTCCTTCCCTGTCAGCCAAGTGATAATCAATTTTGCAAAGCACAAATTGTAGTTAATCAAGAGTGTGGTCATCTTTTTTTTTTTTTTGTGAAATTGTAAATTTCCCCAGTGTGGGACAAATAAAGGATATCTTATCTTATCTGTGTTTCCCCAAGAATATTTACACACTGGTGACATGGCCGCTTCCCCAAGGGTATATGTCAGACTGGTGAATTGGTATTGGCGTCATAGTATCGGAGCATATTTTCCATTCGGAGGACAGATATACAGTATTGGCACCAATACCTCAGCTGGAATCAGTGCGTGTCTTCTGATTGTATGGATTCTTTCCTCTTTCTCTACCCTGCCATGAGCATACGCTTTCTTTTCCAGTCTAAAATTGACATCTTGTTTGGCCGGTGTAATTTTAATTATTCTAATTATTATTTTGGAAAGCTATGTCAAACAAGTCAGGGTGCGGATTTGCACAGGTAAATTATTATCAAAAATAACGTTTCACAAATGTGTCACACTGCATTAGAAAGGTCGTTGCATGCAAATCTGGACAGTGAGCTTACCACATGGGTGACTTGAGAGGTTATCCGGCACGTTCTGCTTTCTCATTGGATCTTTGAGACTGAGATGGATCTTGTTATCCAAATAGACAGAAGAAGAGGAAGAGGATCTCCAATGATGTGAAACATTTTCAGTCTTTAAAGTGTTAGGCTGTCCAGAGGTCGTTCCAGAAGATCTACATTTCTCCTTTGTTGCTGCTATTGTGCTTTTTAAGACAGCTGGGGATTTCAGGGTGTTTTCTCTTGTCTTGTGGGTTTTTATAGAAACATTGTTTTTAGGCTGGATGGCATGAGCACCACTTTTTGGCTGTAAAGATACAATGTCCGTTTTCAAACTCTTGTGCCGAGACATGCTGAAAGGCGTATGCCTGGTGCATGACTTTTTCTTCTTGGCTTTCCCCTGTAGTTAAGTAATATGGTGTTCATAAGAGAGAGAAGAAAACTATGCAATGTCAAAATGATAGGAAAGATACACTCACAGACAAGAGTTTCTCCTCCCACTGAGCAGCATGAAAAGCTGTAGGAGGTTGGTGGGACTTGACCAAGACTGGTAGTCTGCTCACTCTTGGCCGCATGAGTGTCTTCCTCCCAGGATCTAGGTTCTCTGAATCCCTGTTAAGAAGGTGTGGCGTGGATACAGGCTTTGCGTTCTGTGGTTCCAGTGGCATCTTGTTGTTCTCATTTTCCACCCTGGAGAGAAAGATGGTAAGGTGAAACTGACCAAGTTTTAGTTTGAAATATGAGAAAAAGAGAGAGGGTGATAAGAAATGATCAGCAATGTTGCACACAAAACGTAGAAGAAGCCATTCACACATACATCGACTCTGTCTTCCAATACAACACAATTCATCACTGTAGTTTTGGATGCATAAAACATTGTGAACAAAATCTTCTTGGGGGAGGTATCACAAGATGCCATATCCCACCCTTGACACACGCCTGGAATTACTCATATGCAATCACCTGTGATGATATTGACGTAACGTAATGGCAGAGAGATATTCACTGCATAACGCTAATCATGTGGTACCCCAGACAGATTTATTTCAGCAAACTCTTTCATTTGGGGTAAAACATTACTCTAAATTTCTTAGTTCATTATTGGCCACTTACCTCCTAAAGTAATCCTCCCTTTGCACACGAAGAACTGGAGGAGATGAGTCCATATTCTGTCTTGTGTCGTGAGCAGTGGAGAACGACTGGAGAGGGAAAGAAAACAAATCATTTGAGCAATCGATTGACCGAAGTTATTGTATGATGAGTTATTCGTCACCGTGACGATAACAATGAATTAAAAGATAAAAACGGTCATTTAGTTGTCATTCCAAGTAGTCAAATGATCTTGCGTTCAAACAGCCGTTAGCTCGAAGTACAGCAGACGGTGTATTAACAACATGGCTCAACATTCATACATACGTTAACGAAACACTATCACAAGATAAAACGTTATTTATTCACCCAAGAAGTCTCGATTTTGCTTTCTTTAGTTTGATGACAGTTTCAAGAGCAAGACGTCTGAAAACCTCCCCGACGATTAGCCGTTTGTATCAACCGCGCGTTGCTATTGGTTATGATTGGACCTGTATCAGCCAATCACCGCATGGATCATTTGCTAGCGTTTTCTTTTGGCCAATGAGCGACGGAGTTGCGTAAACAACTCCAAGGCGACGAAGCGAAGGACATTTAACCACGACGAGATTTCGTGCTTTCTCTCTCTCTCTCTCACTCTCTCACCCCCATTCAGTAAACTTATGCTGCATTCGGTGAAGGTGGGAAATCGGAGTTATCCCACTCGCTTTGTCTCAGTTCCGACGTCAAAACGTTCGAAGCGAATGTAAACAACAAAGATGGATGCTTACAATAGTTTGTTGTTCTGGTTCATCACAACACATTGTGACCCCCGTCAAATCTTCCTTATAATTTCTTTTATTAATGAAAATAAATACCTTATCCTCACCTTACGGAAGAGGACTATTGCCAGAGAAGGAAAAAATATTGGTAAGATCCTCACTTTTATCTCAGCATTCTGACTTTATTATTTGACGCAGGGGGATAACTGCATGTCTTCACACAGTCACTACAAATCACGTTGTGTTAGTGAAGTTATTTTGAAAGACTCAAATAAAGTAATAATAAATAACTAAAGCTACATAAGGTTATCATTTTGCAAATTATGTCTTGCCATTCACGGACTTTGTCTCCATGGGGTCGCGACTGTTGAGTGACGTCACACTAAAGTTGGTCAGTGAACCTAGGGTCTTTTTTTTTTCGACTTCACAACTCGAACTTCCCAGTTCAAAGGTGCGTTATAGTGCAGAGATTTTCAACAAGTGTGCCGTGAACACGGTGTTCAGGGGGAAATGATCCAATGTCAATTATTTTGAAACAAAAAAAAACAATTATCCATCCATTTTCTTATTCACTTATCGTCACGAGCGGGTTGGAGCCTATCTCAGCTGACTTTAGGCAGTAGGAGAGTATACCCTGAACTGGTTGCACGGGGAGGACATGCAAACTCCACAGGAAGGCCAGAATCGAACCCTGCACCTCTGCACTGTGAGGCCGATGTGCTAATCAGTAGTTCAACATGCTGTGCAGTTGCCAAGTGGCAGACAGACTGTTCAACAAGTGGCAGAATAAAATTAAACGACTTCTGATAGGCTCTCTCTTGGCACACATTATTTTTGTGGCCACGACTCTGCACCAAATCATCTGCGGGTTTGTCAGAATAATATGACACGACAAAGAATTCTGATTGGCCTTCTCCTGGCACATATCATGATTGCAGTCACGACTCTGCACCGAATCACCTGTGGGTTGGTCAATTCATGCCAATAATGTGAAGTGACTGACAGAAAGATCAACAAATTTGGATTAAAAAAAAATATAATTCTGATAGGCCCTTGACTACTGTATGTCCGTGGGCGCCAGCTCAGACAAGCCCGTTGGTAAAGGCAGGCATGCCTGTTCACCAGACTTGACCATTCGCTCCTCTGGCCCAGGTCGCTCTCCGGTCCAGGGGAGACTGCGAGTGAGCATGCAAGCACCGCCCGCTTCCCCATTCAGTGCATCCACTCAACAGCGATGACGAGACGCCCCGCGGTCCAGCTGGCCGCCCGTCCAACACCTGTGAGCACCGTGGTTCTCACGCCCTCTGACCTAGGCCACAGCGAGGCCCGCCAGTCCCAGCAGAAGTCACCATGTCAGCGGCCGAGGGTGAGCATACGTACACGTAGGTGTCCCTGGCCTGGCTGTGGCCAGGCCGCCAACACCTCCATGACTGATGAATGAGAGGTATGATCCTAATGTTCTCATCCCCCTCGCCGCACACATCTAACAAAATGTTATCCATTCACCAAGTCATCCATTATCTGAAACGCTTATCCTCAAGGGCCGCAGGCATAAAAACGTAATTAATATTAACTGTCATGTCCCAGCAGAGAGCGATCAGTGAGCAGAGTATCAAATGACAGTTTAAAATCGATTTAATAAACAAACAAACAAAAAAGATATAAACTTTCCATCGGTGTGAAATGGTCCAAATCATAGATTTCTACATTGACCCATTCCGAGTTTTCAGTCCTACCTTGTTAGTCGAGAAAATTTCCCTATCCTCCACTTCCTTCCCACGAGGTCTCCTTCAGGTACTACCGACGTCCAGCAGGTGTCGCTGCCAGGAGGTCAACATCCTGCTGCGTCTGCGTGACCGTGACCGCAGTGCTGCACAGCCGACGCGCGTGCGTTCAGAGGAAGGAAGAAGACAGTGTGCAGATAGAGGAAATCAGAAAGTGACGCTGGTGCAGACATGGACCTGCGATCTGAGCTACTCAAATCCATCTGGTATGGGTTCACGGCACTGGATTTGGAGAGGAGCGGAAAGGTCTCCAAGTCTCAGCTGAAGGTGAGTGTGTAGTGTGTCCTTTTTCTATTTTTCTCCTATGAAATACATAAAACTGCGCTTCATTTCCCCCCTCAAACTCACACAAGCTCTTAAAATAGGAGTTACTTTGATTACTTGATTACCAACAATTTCCCCAAAGTTGTATCTATCGGAGGAAGTGTCAAATAAAACAAGCAAGTTAGAGTTTCATTATGAGCCTCCTTTGTGGGAATAGGACAAAAGTCCAGAATAGGAACTTGAGTCTCCATCTCAGAATATAGTGTGTCGTGCAAAGCCGTCCTGTGGCACTGGATCCGTCAGAGCACAGCTTGTTGGATTGAGAGTACACAACACAAGCCGTGTGTGTGAGCTTGTGTGTCAAAAGAACTTTGTTACAGACAACAGTTGAGCGCAGAGATCGTGGAAATGTGTTGGTCATTGTTGTTTCTGTTTTCAATGCAGCCTCTTGTGCTCTTGCCTCACCTCGTGTTGGTTATGTCACTACAGCTCACACTTCATTCCAACCACATCCATGGTCCTCAGCCCCATGACAGGGCTTATTCCCCACATGCATGCAGCGAGTGTACAACAGGGTGTATTACACTTTTGCTCACAAAAGCATGGCCTAGATAGCAGCAGAAGTTTTTTTTTTTTTCTCTGGAGTGGAGACTTGAGGCAGGATGTGGTCGGGGAGTTTTAGGCCTTGCAGCACATTTCACAATACTTTCAGGTGAAGGCACTCTTGGCAGTCTGTTTAATTAAAGAAAAAAAAATATCCATTATTTTACACTGTTTACATGAATTATGTTGCATGGACAGTTCTTCAATTGTGAATTGCCTTGTGACGTATAGCTGCAGAATTACATGTCAGTTGTGTTAGACGTGTTATGTGTTGGTTTTCATTTTCATTGTCTTGTTGCACCTAGAGTAGGTCATGCTCGATGTATACAGTAGTGACTTCTTGCGAGTTGTGACAAGCAAGTAATGAGTGCATATGAAGTCCCTGGCAAGAGTCACCCTTCTAACATTGGCCCTGTTTTCGTTCCCAACACAAGTGTAGCACAAAACGGGGTCCGACTCTCTCATGGGTGGAGTTTTATTTTTTTTTTCAGTCAAATTTTTGGAGGAGGAGAGTGAATTTCAAAGTCCCCACACTCATCATGCATCCATCTCTGGCTGTAACTGCCATTTATTGCATACAACTTGTGATACTGTTAAGAATCTTGTGATGAAATGCAAAATGTCATTACTATTTTCAGACCAACGTATAACTTGATGAGATTGTCATTATACGTTGCTTATCTTTACTCCGGCAGCAAAATGTTTCGACCCATGCTTTACATTTCCTTCACTTCCCCTCATAAAATCACCTCTTTATCATGCATTATTTTCAACAAAAGTCTCACTCAGAATTTTAAACCTGCAGTTACCATTAAAAAAATGCTAACAATCCATGCATTTTGTTTTGTGAAGTATGCACTGTATTTCTGTTTTATTCGGCATATTCAATCTGATTTGTCCCTGCACTTGTTTTGAGCAGCGTTTGTTGTTTAAAGACTCCAACTTTGTGGATTTGCAGGTGTTATCGCACAACCTCTGCACAGTGTTGTGCATCCCGCATGACCCAGTTGCTTTGGAGGAGCACTTCCGCGATGATGATGATGGTCCGGTCTCCAGTCAGGGTTACATGCCCTACCTCAACAAATACATTCTGGATAAGGTGATTTTCCTACTCATTAAAATAATCAGGAAAGCCGCGGAGATAAACCCTAAATCTGATAGATTTTTTTTTTTTTTTTTTTTTTACCTAATATCACATACTTTGCCTACAGCGGTGTATATGTTGAGCAGTAGTGTGTCATAATGTACGGTAATTTTTTGTGTATCACATGTCATGCACTGCATTTTTCTTTGTGGCAACTGATTATGTGCAGCCTTGTGCTCTTGACATGTTTGATGCAATATACCGCACAAAATAATCCATCCATCCATCCATTTTCTGATCCGCTTATACTCATATCGGTCGTGGGGCGTGCTGGAGCCTATCCCAGTGGTCCAGTGGTTAGCGTGTCGACCTCACAGTGCAGAGGTGCAGGGTTCGATTCCGGCTCCGGCTTCCCTGTGTGGAGTTTGCACATTCTCCCCGGGCCTGTGTGGGTTTTCTCCGGGTACTCCGGCTTTTATTATTATTTGTTGTCTCCAAGGAAAGTAATGTGGTGACAACCATGTGTGGTGGGGCAATATTTTAGCACCCTCTGTTGACCAGCCACCACTGTTCCAAAGTCACTACTACTCTGATTGTTGCTAGTTGCTGAGCTCCTTTTTCCTCATACTATATATGTATTGCTGAATATCAAAATTCTGAATAAAAATTTGTCATACAAATATGTAGCGCTTCGTCTGCGGAGAGACTGAAGGTGGACCTGCAGCATCAGTTTTTCGTTTCGTCGGAAGGCAATCAAAATTTTGATCTCCGTTTCCACGCTTGGTGTGTTTTCGCGCTATGTGAAGTTTTCGACGACTTGAAATTTTTGTCCTTCCAACCTGATGCATGATGTAAGTTTCTGAGGTCAGCTGGTTCCTCAACTCAGTTTACCTGGTGCTGATTGTAGGATAGAAGTTGTTACATGAAGATGAGAAGCTGTCATTCTTCTGTTGCATCTCTTTCACTTTGGTATTTAGGGCGCAACGAGGGAATCCCTACTCTTTAACTTTTATGATGGACTGCAGACACTTGGTGTTGAACATCTTGCCATCACACCTGTACTGGGTGGGCCGTGGTGTCAAAAGTCTTCATCAAATCCACGAAAGTGGTAAACAGGTCTTGATGTGGTTCAACGTTTTTCAACTGAAGGTGGGAAGCGGTAAACACCATATCAGAGGTTCCTCGATCCTGCATGGAAACTGCACTGACAATTGGAGGTGGCCTTGCTCAAGTTAGTCCATGAGGTACAGTAGTTGAGGGTAATGTGGGTAAGAATTCTTCCACATTGGAGAAGAGGCAAAACCACGGTGATTGTCGCAAGAGCAACTGTTCCCTTTTCTCTTGTAAGTATGCACATTGGTCGCAGCTTTCTGTTCCTGTGGTAGCTGTTTTTCTTGCCACATTGCCTGGTAGAATTCTGAGGTACATGTTTGGAGAGCTGGGCCACCTGACTTGAACACTTCTGACGGAAGGGCCTCAGGGCCCAGGACTTTTCCTGACTTTGGCAATCTCTTCCACTGAAGGAGTGTCAGGTTCTGGGCTTATGACCACCTGGTGTTGGTGTTCTTCGGCTTTGTCCTAGTGAAAGATGGACAGTTCTGGATGCCACTGAAGTGTTCTGCCCATCAATCACAGTTACGCTGATGTCGTTGTTCTCGTGCGAACCCTGTGCTTGTTTTCTCTTCAATGAAAATTAAGTAAGTTCAATTAACTTGATTGACTGCTTTTGTCCAGTTTACTGTGTTTTCTTGTTCTGGTCGTCATTGCAGAAAGTCCTGCTTTACAAAAATTGACCTTTTTGGTCGTTTCATTGCCTCATGTTCAAGCTCATCATCACAGATTGCGCAGAAAGGTTTTGGTGCATGCTAAACATGTAGTGATGAACCCATATTTAAAGTTGGACTGCTGATATTGTCTCTTTAATGGAGCTTGTTTTTTTTTGGAAGTTGTAGTGGAAGTTGTAGGCTCATCTTTCGTCTCATCGTTTGGCCTTTTTGTCTTCCTGAAGAAGTTGTTTGTTTGCTTTGTTTTTGAATCATTTTTATGAGCTTTTGAGATTTTTGGCTCCCGTATCACATGCGAGAGATGAGCACTTCGACATGTATAGTGTCATGTTCTCCTCCGTCTTTGTTTTTATTTTCAGCACCAGCTGGAGTGGAGGGCGTGCCTCTGCAGTGGTGCACCTGTTTCTCATTACCAATCAAGGGTTTCCATGTATTCAAGGACTGCCAAGCTGCCTAGTCACTGTCGGATTATTGACCTTGGTTGCTGTTGCTCAAGAAAAAAAAATCTATTTGACTCGTTTATGGTTAGAGTCACTCTTGTTTCGCTAGTTTTCTTGTTGAGTAAGTATTTTTGGATTTCTTGTTATTCGTGGATTAGTAAAATTTTGTGGAATTTAACATTTGCCATTTCATGTAGTGTATTTTAGAGTATCAAAATTACCTTGCCGTTTATAAGCGTTTTTTTGTTCAAATTGGCATTTCCTGGTTTTGTGTCGCAGGTGCTCTTTGTCTATACTTTGTTTTTTTTTCTGTCGGTTTTTTTTTTCATTGTTTTGCGCCATCGTTTTTCTGAGCCCACGTTTGTGGGATCCGCTTACCATTTGGTCTATTTTCAGATCGTGTCATACCAAGAAGCAAAGGCAGATGCATCTGACTCCAGGCGTAAAGATTCTTTCAGGCTCGGATTATCGATGTGCAATTTGCAACCTGGTACTAAATGTTGGCTGAGGGCCACTGCCTTAAGAAACAAACGATATGACGAAGCAAGTCCTAGGCAGAAGTGACTACTGGTATCAATATACACTATTGACTACCTCCTGAGTCTTTATTCGTAGTTACATTAATAAAAAGACTGCTCTTATTATTTAAAGGGCACTCTATATTTTTAAAAATGACATTGGAACATGTACCTACTGTAGTTGCATTCACTTTTTTGAGGTGAAAAGCATGTTTTTGGAAGCAACACATTCTAACTATTATGGTGCTTGACATTCTGATTGCAGCACTCCTAAATTCACATCATAGAGTAGATGCAACCCTGAAGTTTTGGTGCTAACCATTTTTTTTTTTTGTAGGTAGTTGAAGGCGCCTTCAACAAGGAAGATGTGGATGAGCTGTGTTGGACCCTGACAGCTAAGAAAAACTACAAACCCAACAAGAGTTCAGACACAGTTCTGGCAGAGCGAGACGCATTTCGGCTTTGGTGCCTTTTTAACTTTCTGTCGGAGGACAAGTACCCTTTGGTGATGGTCCCCGATGAGGTTGGTCCAACCCAGAGCTGGGGAATACATTTTTCAATGTGATTTTACATGTGAGAAACTGGAATGGTTATTCAGGGCCACAACAACATGCTAACCTCAATTGAATTTATATAAAGCATTAAACTGTAATTTTGTAGACATGGTATATATTGTTGAATTTACAAAATAAAAATGTTTAAACAGACATGAAAATTTACATATAGGGTTGACACAATCAAGGGGTCCAACATCCGGTGCCATTCTAGCTAGTTGGGACAGGTTCAATCTGTACCACTGTGTTCTATATATAATTTTTATGTTGATACTTAAGTTTATAGGCCAGTCCTGTCTGACTTACGCCATAGTGGAACTTCTATTTTTGGGTTCCGGCTCTGTTTAGGGAATACATTTTCTCTCCAGTCCAGACACTGATTTGCAATCAAGTTGTTAATCATTGAAAAGTCCTAAGACGGTAATTTTGGATCATTACTCAACTTTCCTAGCTTTTTGTTGGCCGTGTTGAAGCTTTTTGCAATGCAATTCAGACATCAACTTAAAAGACAGATTAAAAAAAATAATAATAATAAATCGCCAATAAACATTAAATGTTGTCCTTGTAGTGTATTCAAGTGAATATGCGTTGAAATAATTTTTCACATCTCAACCTAATTGGAATTGATGCTTGTAGTTCTTGTGATTACTGAGAGCCATGCATTGTTTTCTCTTCAACAAGCCGGTTTTATCTTTTTAAATAATTTTTAAAAAGGAAGAAAAGTACGGTAATTGAAATCAACGCAACCCAGGGCTTATATCTAGGCTACTACTCCAAAATGTTGTTTTGATGGTTTGGTTGGATGTCACAAATTCAGGCTTGTCTGTGTTATGTTTACATCACATTTGACATAATTTTTGGTCAATTCTATGTTTTAATGTTTGAAAACAGAGCTGTAGTCAAGTCCACCTTTATCGAGTCCAACCCAAGTCCAGATGAGATGAAGAGTAATCCATGAAACAGACAAATACAATTTTTATGACCAAAAAATTTGGGAAATTTCATCCTGCTCAACACTCTTCATAGAAGGCGTGGAAGCCTTTGCTTTATTAAATGTGTGTGGCGATAACCCAAAAAACTTCAAAAACAATTTTGCTTTGTTAATGGTGGTCGGCCTCATGGTAGAGACTAGGAGGAGATTGGCCACTGAGGAGCAGCAGAATGCATCAAGCAGTGAGAGATGAAAACAACGCAGAACACAAAGCTAATGAATGAAAAACGTGTCACTGCAGCAGAGTTTGATGTCCCAGAATTCCTCGCAGTCAGGTTAACCAATCACATGGCCATTTTGATCTGAAAAATGTAATTTCAAGTTTCTTTTGAAGGAGAATTTTCAGGAATAAATACTTAGCTGGACTCGGTCGAGTTGATAACAAAAAATGTTGCCAGTCCAACGGCTGGGTCTGACATAAGTCAGAATCAAACGCCAAAGAGTTCGAGTCTAGTTAAAAAAAAAAGAAAGTTGATTCCGGACTTGAGTCAGAGTCCAGATTCCAGTACTACAACCCTGTCTGAAAATGAGCTACTGAATTTTCTTACCCCTCCTACTTATTTTGTTTTGAGCAGACATGTTCAGATTATACTCATATGACTGTTTGAGTCATTGAAGACATGACATTAAAATGTAAAATTATGAAAATGTGAAAATGTTGCTTTTATGAGGATGGCAGTTTGGACTCTGATATGAATTATTCTATAACATAAAACTGATCTCAATAGTAAATTCTGCTTTGAGAGTTGATCAGATTTAAATTCAACCAGCGTCACAAAAGAGATGAATTTCCAACTTGCAGTTCTGTTCTTATATTGACCATATACATTCAATATTTTTTGTCCAACTTGTGTAAAAATTCCAAGTGCAGTCTCAAAATGCCTTGTCATATTCACAATCCCTTCATCCAGTATGTATTTTTGTAGCACCTTTGATACATAAATGTGAAACTAAAACAAAATGAACAACAGTTTGATGGGCCAAATGAATACATAGTTTTTGTTTGTTATCTGATTATTTCCAAACCATGTTTTACTGCATCATTCCAATGAGAAGGCTGTAATCTATAAAACAAACATATCACAAGATCATTTGCAAGCACCAAGTGCAGCCTGACTGAAATCGTGTTACTTGCATCATGCAACACACAAGCTCTTTTTATACCGCCATTTGGGCTCTTGTCTCACCTTCAACCTTGCGTTTTGGTTTCCTGTCATTTATAGTCATTTTCACAGACGCTTCCAAGAACAAAGCCTACATTCACAGTCCACGTTAGTTTATTTTACGCTGAGCCCCACAGAACATTATCCACCTCTTATACACTTTCTAAACTACGCACTGTGTCAAGAAATCTGCATTGATGTTCTGTAAATTAAAAGTCTCTATGAATCTGGGAATTCACATAACTGGTAATACATACTTATTTAGATTACATTTTTTATACAGGTATTTGTTAAGCTATTTCATGTAAGTTTGTGAAAACAAATCTTCAGAGAACATTAGCCAAGTGCAAAAGTAGATCACCCATCACACACTTTTTGATGTTCAGTATATTCAAGTCAAGTCAAGTCAAGCTTTATTGTCAAATATGCTCTATGTGCAACACACAGCACAGACACAATTACAGTACTTTCCTCTCAACCACAGTGCAAACACGCAATGCATTGAAACACGCGCAGCTAAAAATAAGGGCAGCAAAACTGAACTGCATAAAAAGAGGAAAAGACATATATAAATATAAAGAAATAAAACAATAAATAGCAATCAACAGGCAACCAAGGGCACTTGTGATTATTGCAGGTTAAAGTTAGATTATTGTTGATAGTGCATTGTTTTAGTGCCATCATCGGATGTCAGATGCTGTGGTAGGGTCACAGTCTGTGGCAGGAGGCAGGGGTAGAGGTGGGGAGTGTGGGCAGAACAGGGAGGGAGTTGAGTCTCCTGACCGCCTGGTGGCATAAACTGTTCTTGAGCCTGCTGGTTCTCGCACAGAGCCATCGCAGTCTCCTCCCCGACGGCAGCAGGTCGAAGAGGCTGTGAGATGGGTGGGTGGGGTCACCTGTGATCTGGATGGCTTTGCGGGTCAGACGAGAGTTGTCGATGGCCACGAGTGGGGGAAGAGAGACACCAATGATCTTCTCAGCTGCTCTCACAATGCACTTTTCACGTCAGGTCTCTGTCATTTCTGCAGTGATAAAACGTGAACTTTGAATAATGAAAGGTAAAGTGAGACAAATAGAGGAGATGATTGTCAGACGTCCAGAATTGCTGAATATTGGACCCCAAAGGGCATTCAAAGAAAATGGAGGAATCAAACAGAATTTATTAAACTAAGGAAGCATGTAACATGCGAGCAGGGGCGTTGCTGGTCATGAAGTTCTCTGGGGCACAGGCCCCCTACTATGGCCGCGTCCTCCCACACACACATGCACAGTGCACACACACTTCAGCTCTCTTGCTAATGCTAGCGGTTCAATTATTGAATGTTGTATTTATTTATTTATTAATTTTCTTACCCTCTCGCAGCTGGCCAGTTCTCTGATGCCTTTGATGAGCTTTGTGTTCCTACTTTATGCACGGAGCAATTCTTGGTTCCGCTCAGGCTATTGGCTTTGGTGGCTCCTTTAAATACGGTGCGATCAAAAGTCAGACCTCAGCCCTGATTTAATGAGAGAACTGGCACAGCTAAAAAGGAATGTCGCAAAGCCAAATGGAAAAAACATAAATGCTGAAAGACTGGCGTTGCTACCAGAGCACAGTTAAAGAGGCCAAAAGGGAACGTTTGTCAAACTTTATTAAGGCTCACCATCATAATCCAATTGTTCTTTTTAAAAGTATTGATTCTGTGCTGAAACCCACTTAGCCCATTGTCAGAAATTGCTCACTCAGACCGTTGAACAGAGACTCGACCCAGGAAGAGATTGTCTTTTACTGCAGCAGGAGGCACTATTCTTTGAAGCCGCACTCACTCGTGCTCGCTCCTCAAACCGAAAACCTGAACCCTCGCAGCTCCTGCTGGCCTTTATTGACAGTTTATGCAAATTACAAGTAACATATCAGAAAAAAACACTCCCCTCCTCATTTACATGCCACGCTCCTCAGCCCGGCCCCCTGATACGCCCCTCAGTGGACACCTGCAGGCCAAGACACCTCCCGGTACAAGCACCTACATCCATCATCTCCATGAACTGAGACATCTGTAACTTCGCTCAAGGACATCTTATCATGCTGGAGCGCATCCTGTCTGCCCTAAGTTGAATCTTTCTTCCTGTATTATCAGTTAACAAGCGCCTTGGCTCTATTCACCTTAAATTGACCCCTGAATCTCTGTGCTCCATTGTGCACGAGCTGTATGAACACACACATTTGAGGCCAATCAAGCATAAAACTCTTAAACATGATAACATTGTGTTTGTCGATTCTCCAGCACTCATTTGCACAGAATCTTACCCCGAATTGTTGAACAGATTCCTGCAGTTTATCATGAGAGCACTCGTTTAAATTACCAGAGAGGAGACCAAACTAATGAGAGTGAACTTGCCAGAATGAACAAACACTGGCGGACAGTTTTGCGTGGCGCTCGTGAAATCACCATCACACTATTTCATCCATGGTACATGTGGGATTGTACAGAAGGTTCAGGGTTGTCAGACACAAAATATGTGTGCTACATATGCTATATTTTAACCTGACGGCGGCCGGCAAAGCTTCTGAGCATTTAATGGGCTGCACTTTGTGACGTCTTCACTTTATGCAACTGCTATTCAGTTTTTGAATTGCCCCAAAAATATTGGCCAAAACTTGCCACTTGTAAAATGTTATGACTTGCTGCGAGTGTCAAGAGCGCAGCACAAGCTTGTGCTGTTCAGTTGATCCTGCCCCCAACCCAATGTGCGCCTGTTGTGATGAAAAAGCAATGGAGACCGTGGTGTTGTGCTAGCCGTGCATAGGAGAGCGGTCTGGTGTGGAGTTCTTTGGGGCTAATGAAAAAGCGTGTCTTCCATGTGTTTTTTATGTTTTGTTGAATCTGACTGCAGCGTCCGATACGGTGGACCACAGTGTTCTGCTGGCTCGTTTACAGCACTAGCTGGGCATGAGTAGCCGTGCTCTGGAGTGGTTTATATTGTATTTGGCAGGCAGGACTTTTTGTGTTAGCCTTGATGGCTCTTTCCCTTTGTCATATGGTGTTCCACAGGGTTCTGTATTAGGGCCCTTGATGTTTTCACTGTATTTTTTTGCCACTGGGTTCCTTCTTAATAAAACATGGTGATTCCTTCCACTTCTATGCGGATAAGACTCACGTCTATGTCCCTCTGAGCAAAAAAGACCTTTCCTTCTTCATGCCACTTTTGTCCTGTCTGGATGGAATCAAGAATTGCATGGCACTGATTTTTTTTGAATTTCAATGAAAAAAAAAACAGAAGTTATGGTGTTTTGGTCCCATTGGCCCTTGTAGATGTCACTCTATTGACCTTGCCCCCGTGGCGTCTGATCTGATACAGACCAATATCAACCGTCTGTCGGAGTAGGGCCCACCAGCCAGCATTTTGAAACACATAATGAGTGGGGGGGGGGGGGTTAGCAAATAAATGAATGAAGGAAAATACTGCAGGTGGATGAGACACATAAAGAAGTGAGAAAGTTATTTTTCCCCATCCTGCTGGCCAATCCAAATCTAATACTTGAACAAAGCTCATAAATACTGGAGCACATACTCCTGTAAAAGAGGTCTGGTAACGGCTATGCATGCAAAAAAACGGCAGAGCAATCACGCAAAAATATCAACCAAAGAAGATTCTCAAACTATCCAAATCCAAATCTAAATTCAAAGAGGTGGAACGAGCCCTAGTAGACACAGGACCCCTAAAACAGAAAGAAACCCATTGAATCTAACTACTCTACCTAGGAACACAACGATAGATGTACTTGTATTCATCAGTTGTCGAACAAACGATGATTACTCCCAGATTAAACAACATTTGAGGAACAAGTAACACTAGGGAACAAATGATAGACCCAATGTAATGTATCTTATTCCTTCCACTTGCACTTCTGTTGTTTCTAAATACCGAGGTGATGATAATTAACAGAAGGTGTGAAGCAGGAGGCTCCTCCCACCAACCTGTATACACATGTATAACAAGACGGACCTTGACAATGTTCAATTTTCATTTCTTCTGCAAACGTTTTTGCCCTCAGTCGAATGGGGACCACAGATACACCTTCCCGGATGTTCTGTAACCGTGAATCCATTGCTCGAGTTGGTCTACCAACTCGGGACACCTTGCCTTGTTTCTGCGGAAACCCAGTTTCGTCTGCTCGACTTGGCAAAGCTTGTTCTCCTGCTTCCTCCATTTGTGAGCCATGGATTCATTTTTCTTAAAATCTCTCCCGGCTGCTCGTTTGCCATGTTCCTCCGCGTAACTGAACGCTTGAAGTTTGAACTGTGCTTCGTAGGCGTCTCTCTTCATACGTGTCGTTTTCAGGGGTCCAAAGTTGTTTTGCCCAATCTACGTACCGGCATTAGATCCAACTACTTGTAGGTGTGCCTTGAGCGTCCTCTTTCACGCCCACCCTTCCCTTTGAACGTCCGCATGCCGTCCACACTTACGTCCATCTTTCCTCTATATAAGCAGCGTGTCCGTATGTCATCACACAGTCAAGCGGAGCGCTCATCGAAGGCGCACTGCAACAATCACAGGTTTTGGATCTCTGTGCATAGATTGGAACATGTACATAATTTTCACTCACATACACACACATAGTCAAACAAGTTCGGTGTGTGTCTTCCACAGCCCTCACTCCTTAGGTTGGACACACCCCTGATCCGTGGGTGACGTACAGAGAATTTAAACCTAACGCTTCTCTCCGTTCCCCCCTGGTACCAGAATCGAGTGTCTCCTGAGCTCATTCGGTCTTTATTATGAATGTCTAATTGATTACTCTGACATTGACATTTCTGTCAGTCACTCCCCTGCTGCAAAAGTAGATGAAGAAGCCCGCCCCACAGGGGCCTACAGCTTAATGCGAAAGCACCCATCAGAAAGCATTAAATTCCACATTATTCAGCCATTTGTTTATTTTTCAGTCAATCATACCAGTGCGGCATCACACCGTACGTGATTGATCCCCAGGTGCAATTGTTTATGCAGCTAAACTAACCGGACCGCCGCCGCGACAGTTTATTTGTCAATATTCTGTCAAAGTCACTTCACGTGTAAGTTTGATTAAAAGGACATAATGGGGTACAAGCTGGACAGGTTGGATAGCACAGGTGCACCAGGAGTGCTTTTTACAACTGTCACAATGGCAGATGGAGAGGACTATACTGGTGAGTCTTTGCTGTCATAAAAAGGCCTCGAAGGTTACGGGTCATGTGTAGTGATAATTGAATGGCTTTCATCTTTGAGACAAACATAGTGGCTCGGAGCTACGCAAGGCTGGCTGGCTAGCAGGGAGCAGCGCAGGCGGGCAGTTGTGGCACCAGGTAGCTGGCCGGGTGACAGGCCTGTTGCCCATTTGCACACGCACCCGCCAGGCTCCCGCCGTGCATGTGGCTGCTTCTGGTGCGGAACGCAGGCTGGCTAGGGCTAACCGGCTTACCTCTGAGTATGTGAGAAAAGTGGCACTTGGCGGAATGCCAACAGGCTCGCAGAGCATCTCGCCTCTGTCGCTGTGAGCGAGCAATTAGGGGATGCCCGACGAGGGGTTGTCTCAGGCTCGCTGTAGAACGGGCACCCCAGATGAGCCGCTCGTTCGCAGCCACCACTGCACCCGAGAGTCACCTGTGCGTCGAAGGAGCTGTCTGCCTGAACACCGGTGCTACAACTTAACTTAAAACTCTTGTTGTAGCACCCCGGTGCACACAACAACTGTCTACTCAAAAAAAATCCACGATTGGTTTATCAGAAGTATAATCTGTGAACCTTTTGATTTGTTGGCTATCTGTTAAAATGACTGAAAAGCAGAAAAAATGTGTGCTGATCTGTTTGTTGATGTTGAAAAATTAGTTGCGCATCACAGTTTTGAACTCAGGGGGACTATATTTGATGATTAGTCCCGGGGCCTATCAGGAGGTAAAGGCAACCCTGACTGACAATTTGAATTGAGACTGGAGCACAACTAATTGTTACTGGGGCACGTTTTTTTGCTGTAAATTTTTGCTGTACCAAAGAAAGACATCCATCCATCCATCCATTTTCAACACCGCTTATCCTGAACAGGGTCGCGGGGAGTTGCTGGAGCCAATCCCAGCTGACTTCAGGCAGAAAGCAGACAACACCCTGAACCGGTCGCCATTCAGTCACAGGGCACATATAGAGACAAATGACCATTCACATCCACATTTTCACTGAGTAGGAATCGATACTGCGCTGCCCGCACAAAAGTCCAGCGAATGTACCACTACACCATCAACCGACTCAGAAACAAACATAGGAAAGTTAATCAGTTAAAAGCGATTCAAGCGGAGTGATAAACAGCTTTGGAATTCAAATAATAATATAGTAACAATCTCTCTGTATATCTTTTTATCCCCGCCACCCAGGTGGAGTACCTACTGAAGAAGATATGCACAGCAATGAGTGTTGAGCTCAATTGTGTTGAACTGGAGGACTTATTTTCCCAAGATGCAGTGCAGCAGAGAGGCATCACTGTTTGGGTTTTCTTGGAGATGATGGATGCAGGAAAGTTGGCCAGAGGCATTGATAGCAGCGTCATCAGCATGGCTATAGAGGAAGTATACAGGGAGATCGTTGGCGATGTCCTTAAAGAGGTAGGAGTCATGTGTGTGTGGCCTGCTTTCAGAAATGCTTTGCTTCACGTTCTGACGTGCGTGTGTGTTTCTGCATGCATGTGTGTTGCAGGGTTATTTGTGGAAAAGAGGCCAACTCAGGAGAAACTGGAAGGAGCGCTGGTTCACTCTGAGGGCGAGCAACTTGTTTTACTACACTGGGGAGGACCGCAAGGAGTGCCAGGGCAACATTGTTTTGGATGGCAACTGCTGTGTTGAGGTAAACGCAGCAAGTGCTTGTTGCACTCATATATTGCCAACAACTGTTTGGACTCAAGTCACTAATGGTGTAATGGTACATTCAACTGAGTTTGGTGCAGGCAGTGTTGCTTCAGTTCCCACTCAGTGACGATGTGAGCGTTAATGGTTATCCATCTTAATAAGTGGCCTACCTAGTCCAGTGATGCTAAACATGAGAAGTGCCATTGGAAATGGCTGGATGGATGTTTGGACCCTCTTTACATCCATCAATCTTCTAACCCTCTTATCCTCACAAGGGTCGCGGGCAGGCTGGAGCCTATCCGAGCTGTCATTTGGTCGGAGGCGGGGTACACACTGAACTGGTTGCCAGCCAATCGCAGGGCACACGTAGACAAACAACCATGTGCGCTCACAATCAAACCTAGGGACAATTGGGAGCGTTCAATCAATTTTCCATGCATGTTTTTGGAATGGACTGCCTTTGAGTATGTTCGTGATACATACGTTGTCCAGCTCAGTCGATGCAAATCATGTCCAGAATCCGTACAGGGACATCCAATTCTGTCATCATCATTGCCGGTGATCCACTGGTTAGCGTGTCGACCTCACAGTGCTGAGGTACCGGGTTCAATTCCAGCTCCGGCCTTCCTGTGCAGTTTGCATGTTCTCCCTGGGCCTGTGTGTGTTTTCTCTGGGTAATCCAGTTTCCTCCCACATTCAAAAAAACATGCATGACAGGCTGATTGAAGACTCAAAATTGTCCCTAGGTGTGAGTGTGAGTGTGGATGGTTGTTCATCTGTGATTGGCTGGCAACCGGTTCAGGGTGTCCCCCGCCTACTGCCCGAAGACAGCTGGGATAGGCTCCAGCGCCCTCCGCGACCCTTGTAAGGATAAGCGGATTGGAAAATGGATGGATGGATGGATGGATGTTTTTGGAATGTGGGAGGAAACCAGAGTACCCAGAGAAAACCCACACAGACACTTGGAAAACATTAAAACTCCACACAGGAAGGTCGGAGCCGGAATCGAACCCTGCACCTCTGCACTGTGCTAACCATTTGTGCCGAGCATGACATCTTATCCTGCCAAAATCGTTTGCATGCTGTCTTGTTTTAGGTGCTGCCCGACCGCGATGGTAAAAGGTGCATGTTTTGTCTCAAAACGCTCTCCAAAACTTATGAGATGAGCTCATCAGACACAAAGCAGAGACAAGAATGGACAACAGGTCAGAAAAATCAATACATCAGTCCTACAGAGGTTCTTCAATTACACAGAACCTCATTTGTCATCCACCCATAGCTATTCAGACAGCTATCAGGCTGCACGTGGAGGGGAAGACATCCCTCCACAAGGACTTGAAACTGAAGCGGCATGAGCAGCGTGAGCAGCGCGAGAGGAGGCAACAGGCCAAGGAGGAGGAGCTGCAGAGGCTCCGGGCCCTCCAGGATGAACGAGAGCGAAAGCTGGAGGAGCTGGAGCTCTTGAGGGAGGCGCAGAAGCAGGCCCAGGTTCTCCTGGCGCAGAACGAAGAGAGCAGGCGCCAGCAACACGAGCAGCTCCAGCAGACCTTCGAGGTGCAGCTGCGGGAGGCCGAGGAGGTGAGCACTGCGGCAAATGCGAGGACGTTCACAAGAGAGTTGGCTTTGAGACATTTCCTTCCTGGTGTGTGGGTGTCAAGGTGCGAATCAGCATGCAGGCGGAGATGGCTCTCAAAGAGGAGGAAGCGGAAAGGCAGAGAAAGAGGGTCCACGAGCTGGAGGAAATGCAGAAGCGACTGGAGGAGGCATTGCAGCAGGAGATTAGAGCCAGGCTGGATGAGGAGGCCTTCCGCAATGCTCAAGCAGGGTAAAGTTGTATTTATCCAACAAAATATGAACATTATTTACCTTTTCTTTTCATTGGACTAGAAAGAATTGTGCTTATGACGCATCATGACACACAAGCTGAATCTACACTAATGTATTTACATTGCATGAACACCTGCACACGCCTGGAATATACGGAATATGTGTAAAGCAGTGACAACATGGAAGTAAACAATCATAAATAAAGAAACTAGTAACAGAATTATAAAGAATTACATAGTATTTGGTGTAGACTGACTCTTGCTCTTTAGCGTACCATGTTGAAGCTCCTCATGTGACTGCTTTGCTTGGTTGGGATCCAACTGCGTGGAAGCAGGGAGGCAAGGCATGATTGTACTCAAAAATGACATTTATTCTCAAAAGGACAAATAGGATATTCAACAGGGCACATGGAACAAAAAATACAAAATCAACAAATATAATAAAAAAAAAACCAAGATTCAAAGTTACAAACAAACAAACAAACACTGGAATAAGACTCACACAACAATCAACTGACAAGGACTGGAAGGATTCAGAGAAGTAAACGCAAACAAACTGATGCAACAATAAGGAAAACCTGGACAAGACACACGCATCTGACTGAGTTGATTGGTCAACATGAGGGACGTGGCTGATGAGAACAGGTGGGAACAAACATCTAACCAGACAGACAAGACATGAAAAAAGGGACACGGGCAGGGCTGAACTGGCGTAATTAATGCAGAAGCAGAGCTATGAGGAAGCCAGGGCTGCTCAGGAGTGATCTTTAAATATAAGGGTGCTGTAGAGATGGCGAGATGAAGCCTCAGGAGCCTTCACACCATTTCAGCCATTTGGTTCCAGTTCGTTTCTTACTGCTTCATGTGCACATGAAACCATCTGCTGGCCATGTGCATAATTACAGGCAGTTGTAGTTTACCCACACAATGTGTGCTGCACTGATGCGTAGATGATATTCGCATGTGTTTTGACTCTTGGCATGATGAATTACAAAAAAAATGTATGACGAAATAAGACAAAGAGAAAAATAAAGAAAATAAGGGAGAAAATAAATTCCAATAGGATTAACAAATAATAATAAATGGATAGATGAGTAGGCCTCCATAAAATGACAGAAAATTAAATAGTTAAATGAATAAATAAGTGAACTGTAAAATATCCAAATAAATAATAAAGAGAAAGCTAAAATGTCAACAGTCTCTGCGGTGCTTGTATCTCTGGCCGGCTGATCCGGAGATGCTTCACGTAGGCCTGATGGTTAAAGGCATAATGGGTTACATGTTTAGCCGTGATGTATTTTTCCAGTGTTCTCTGGTAAAATGAACCAAAATGGGAGGACGTGGGTGTGTTCACATTTACTTCTTTATTCAGCTTCTTCCACATGAATTATACAGGCCTGTATAAATATTTGAACAGGTTAGAAAGTAAATATTACGTACTCAAACGCAATATAATATTTCCGCTGTTTTTCTATTTTTTTCTCTCTCTCACCCGTTATGCACACAGGATACATTCACCTGTGACATCCTGAAATTGACGATTAGTGTGCGGGAAGAACTTTGTAGAGGCACATTCCTCTAATTTTCCTCACGACTAAATAATATCTAGAAATCTAAATCCTAGCTTTCTGGATGTCATGTGAATACTGAGTGCGGAACTTGGAGCGGATGTGTGACGTGCTCGAGCTGCGCTGAAATTAGGGGAGAACGCACGGGACACAACTGCGGTCCGTGTCGGAGCTGCGTGACAGAGTGACGTACTCACGATGATAGACTGGCTGACGGTCCTAAAATACATAAATTTTTTTCATGAAAAAAATCTCCGGTGACGTCTGGGCAACCCATATTTTCCATTTGCAAAATATCTGGCTACGTGCAGACAATGCCTAAATGACATCACTTTAGAGCACGTAAGAGCAGGGTACACTTTGGACTGGTTGCCAGCCAAGCAAAAGGCACACACAAACCAACAAGCATTCACACTCCCCTTCACACCTGTGGACAAGTCTCAAAAGAATACAGTCGACGAATCACACCTGCACTTAGGTGCTGTTGCTGCTGATCTTGATGTATTTTGGAGGGTGCGCACATTCTGGACACTCGCCTCAGGTTTCAGGTGTTCGGTAAACATTGTCAGAATCGAACATTGGGCAGAACTCTCTCTAATTACCCCACGGGGATAAATTAAGTTTTCTGAATCTGAATCTGAAAGAACTGCAGTGTCATTTTAGCTACTGTTAACCAAGCTGCCTGCGTTCACCAGTGACATAGTTGGTTTTCTGTGTGGCAAATGTCCAAAGTGAAAGGAGTTGAAGTCATGTCATCTTCCTGAGGAAGCAGAGCTGCTTGCAAAGGAAGTTGCCGTCATTGACATTTTTTTGGGTATCGTAATCAAAACGTCACTTATCTTAACTTCCTCAGATTCGACTTTGTCATTGTTCTCAACCATGCACTCTGACTACCGAGACCCCTGAATTTCATCATGAATTTCACCCCTGAAACTACCAACGTTGAATGTATGGATTTTATTCTTTTTTTTTGGTCCAACATGATCTTTTAACGGTGAGAAGAAATATGCTTTAATGGCTAGATTATTGTACAGTGGATGCTACAAGTCCCGCAATGCACTGCAAATAGCTGAGATGTTGTCACATCGCACCCCCACCCCAATGGAAGTCCGGCCTTTTATTTATCAGTAACCATTCATTTGTGCGGCCCGTTGGTTCAGTGGTTAGCGCGTCGACCTCACAGTGCAGAGGTTGTGGGTTCGATCCTGGCTCCGGCCTTCCTGTGTGGAGTTTGCATGTTCTCCCCGGGCCTGCGTGGGTTTTCTCCGGGTACTCCGGTTTCCTCCCACATTCCAAAAACATGCATGGCAGGCTGATTGAACGCTCAAAATTGTCCCTAGGTGTGAGTGTGAGCCCGGATGGTTGTTCATCTCTGTGTGCCCTGCGATTGGCTGGCAACCAGTTCAGGGTGTCCCCTGCCTACTGCCCGACGACAGCTGGGATAGGCTCCAGCACCCCCCGCGATTAAGTGGATCGGAATGAACCATTCATTCATGTCAATGTGAATTGGTTGATTCAAAACACAGAAGAAATTACAGCAACTCATTATTTTGTCAAATGACAAAATTGCCTTTACATTTTTGGCTCAAATCAAAAATACAATACTGATAATAGGCCACAGGACTGACTTTAATTTCATAATGTAATTGCATCCCTAAATAGTGAGGACCACAATCCATCAAATTACCAGTAACTGTCAGCCCTAATATAACATGGAAAAAGATCATTACTCTTCAAGGGAAATTTTCTTCACAGTAATATGATGAATGTAATCTGTTTTCTGAAGCTGAGCCATTCTCGGTCGTTACACAAGCCCTGAGCAACAGTGATGTTGGCAAAATGGCCACCCCCTGAGTTGGACAAAAATGGGTAGATTTCACTGCTGTATATGAATAATTATAAAAGTTTTTATCCATAAAATTAAATGATATTACATATGTTTAATTACCATTGCTGCTATTCAGTTTTATTTGAGAAATACATCACATACCTTTTAAATCCAAATAATTGAAGAAATAGAATTCTTATTTTACATTTTTACTCTACCTCATGTTATATACTGTAACTGCCCAGACATTTATAGTTTTTTCAAAGTTCTTTCCATCAACAAAAATTTGCAAGACACATTTATACATGTACAGTATGATTAAAGTTTTTCCTGTTCAACTAAAATGACCTCCATCCATGTATTTTCCTTATCCATTTTGCTTACCCCTCACTTGGGTGGCGTGTGAGCTTGAGCTTGAGGCGAGCTTACTTTGAGCGAGAAGCGGGCTACATCATGGTCGCCACCCAATCGTAGGCCATTCACACGAAGAGGACAGGAGTGACAAAAATTATTCAATAAATTTTGAAATCATTAAATGTTAAAATAAATTTGTATTTCAAGACTGAAATGAATACTGAAATAAATGAATACATATTTAAATTCATACGGAAATGATTAAAAGACTCATGACATTCAATTTAAGTAAAATTTATGTCACGCTTTTCTAACAACTGTAACAAAGCACGAAAATAAAAATATGAAATAATAATCATGCTATTGTAGAACTCGAAGAAAGCGACAATTTCTCACGTGCGCACTCCGAGAGAGAGTGTGTCGTGTTTTTTTATTTGCACCACCAAAAAAACACTCGCGCCAAACGAAGCCCGCTGAAAGTAAGTTTCCATAGAGACAAGCAGACTAAAATGGCGGTCCTTAAAGGGACTGCAATTATTTCTACCCCGTTACCAAATAATCGTGAACTCTTTGACAAGCATATGAACATTGCATTCACACATTTGCAGTTGGTGGTGAATTATGTACATAGAAGTCACTACACTATCATACATTCAATTATTTATTTTGTCTGACCGTTTTAAATGATGTGCACATTACACAGAAAGAATTTCAAAGTTTACAAGTCTTAAATTGATTTTCACCTCTTGTCATTTTCTTGCCCCTTGGTAGATATTTTAATTCATTACAATATGTTTTATTGTATCTCATGTGTGAAATGCAGTTTTTTATTTATATAATTTTCTACAATTATTTTGCATACCTTTTTATTGAGAGCCCGCTTTCACACTTTGAGAATCACTTTTGGAAACTTTGCAATGGTATAATATAGCAGATCGATCACTGTCTTGGTCCCGACTGTGGCGGTTAACTAGCGAACAGACTTTTTCAAATGTTCATTTCGCACCTTCTGGGTCACTTAAAGCTGGCTACTTAAATATCAAAAGTCAACCAGTCCTGTGGCCCATTTTTTTTAAGTTACCGGTACGTATTTTTGATGAAAGTCAAAATTTTAAAACATGTTTACAAATAAAATCAGGTTTTTGTTTTTCGATTGCCATTGAAAATGAAAGCAACAAATAACACTTGGATTGCGATTGCGCATGCCACTCTCTACTCTACTTGTGTTCCAAACTGTGTCTGTCAAAATGGCATGCTAGTTTGCCTGAGGAGAGCTGACAGAGACTCTGAGGACCTTCTGTGTAGTGGCTTTTAAAGGACAAAAGTTGTTTGGTAAAGTCATTTTTGTGGATGTTGTGGACTGGGTGCAGGTTACTTGCTGAGGAGGAGGAGAAAATGAAGGAGCTGATGACCCTGCAGGAGGAGCAGGAAGAGTATATCCTGAAAACACAGCGGGAATGGCAGGAGCTGAAGCAGGAGATGGAAGCCAAATCGCGGGCCTTGGATGAGGCACAGAGGCAGCTGGAGGAAGTCCGGGCCAACCGGCACAGGGTTGACCAGGATGTAGTGGTAAGCAAAGAATGATAGATATCCACGTTTTTATAGAAAAGTTAATTCAAACAAATTTAGGTTATTATTAGTTCAAGAAGAAAGTGTCACATCCTACCGTGCCACCAATTAAGTCAAGAAATAAAAAATCGAATACATTTTTAATTTGACCATCCCAGATGGACCACAGACAGTCAGGTAAGCAATAATATATTTATGGTTGCTCTAGTCCAGAGGTCGGGAACTCCGGTTCCTCGAGAGCCACATCCTGCCTGTTTTACAGCTCTCCCGATTCCAACACACCTGATTCAATGGATCATGATAGTTTCAGGCTTCTACAGAGCTTGCTGATGAGCTGATCGTTTGCATCAGGTATGTTGGAGTAGGGAGGGATCCAAAACAGGCAGGATATGGCTCTCCAGCAACCGGACGTCCTTACCTCTGCTCTAGTCTATGTTCAATATGCTCAAATGGTCTGTCAAGTGCACGGGTAGGGAACTCCAGGTGGAGTGCTCTATCCAGGTCGGGGATGATATCCTGCCCCAAGTGGAGGTGTTTAAGTATCTTGTGGTTCACGAGTGAGTGTAGAATGGAGCGTGAGATCGACAAGCAGATTGGTGCAGCGTCTACTGAGATGTGTACTCTGTATCGTTCTGTTGTGGTGAAGAAGGACGTGAGTTGAGCAGTCGATCTACATGCCTTACTTTCAGCTATCGTCACGAGCTGTGGGTTGTGACTGAAAGAACAAGATCCCGGATCCGAGCAGCCAAAATGGGTTTCCTCCACAAGGTGTCCGGGCTCTGCCTTAGAGTGAGGAGCTCGGTTATCCGGGAGGGACTCAAAGTCGAGCCACATTGAGAGGAGCCAGATAAGGTGGCTCGGGCATCTGATTAGGGTGCCTCCTGGACGCCTCACTCTCGAGGTGTTTCGGGCATGTCCCACCGGCAGGAGGCTCCGGGGATGACCCAGGACACGCTGGAGGGACTGTGTCTCCCAGCTGGCCTAGGAACGCCTTGGGATCCCCCAGGAAGAGCTGGAATAAGTGGCTGGGGAGATAGAACTATGGGCTTCCCTGCTAAAGCTGCTGCCTCTGCGACCCGATTCCGGCTAAGTGGTAGAAAATGGTAGGAATGAGAAATTGTAAATCGAGACCTTTTGCCTTTAGGCTCAGCTCCTTCTTCACTGCAGACACTGCGCCGATCCGCCTGTCGATCTCCCAGTCCATCTTCCCCTTGAAGCCTCCTCTTGGGGGAGCAGAATTACATTCCATTTTTGCTGATCCAGACAAACCAATGCAAACAGTTATCCTTTTGTGATGCTATACTATACATTTTTTTTATGTTTTGATGCTCTGATATACAGGCTGCTCAGAGGAAACTTCGCCAAGCGAGCACCAACGTGAAACACTGGAATGTTCAGATGAACAGACTAATGCGACCCATTGGACCAGGCGGTGAGTTTCCACACAATGTGCATGCGACAATTCAGATAAGCGGTGTATAGGGAACATAAGGAGCAAATGTATACATTTTGTCCTGTTGCTTTGCATATTTCACTTTCTGTATGTACAGTATCTGCATTCAAAGCTCCAACGGGGAACGTGACTACTGCATATATACACTAAACAGTCTACACATCACAAACTGGGCTTTCTGTGCCTTTTTAGCATCAACGAATAAATATCCACAAGTCAAAAACCCCGTCTTAACATGAGGATCTCTGTTCTGTGTATGCTTTGTGTCCAGATAAACGACCTGTGTCGAGAAGCTCCCTACCATCCTTCCAGATTCCGAGCCAGAGAGACCCTGGGCTGAATCTCAGAAGGAAATCGGGATCGGAAGATCGAAATGAGCATCTTATAGAAAATGTTGGTGCTGGCCGCAGAAGCGATGCAGATTTAGAGAGACACAACTCCCACACTTCGAATGGAGACCAAAATTTCCCCTAAATGCATGATTCAGACAAGATGCATATCCAAGGAATCGTTGGTATTTTGACTGGAGGAGTCAGGCCTTTCAGCATCAACATTTTGATCAAATGTCAGATATACTGTTCTCAGTTTAAAAAAAGGGTTTTTCAATCTCATAATGATGCACTGTATTTGCGTTGTTAACCACTGGTGTCTGACCTGGATACAGAACATACCTCAGTGCCTTGTATGAATGGAACTGCAAGCAGCTAAGTCAGTATGATGTTAAAATGCCCAAGTATTTACCTGTACAGTGATCCCTCGCTCTAACGCGGTTCACTTTCCGTGGCTTCGCTGTTTCACTGATTTTTTGTGTGCAGTTTTTTGAATGCTTTTAAACAGTGAATTGCGTTCTGCATCCTGATTGGCTCAGGCACTGACCGATGTGAACAGTCCAACCTCGTACTGACTATTAAAAATATTATTTTACAGTACAGTATTTCCAAAAACGATTTTAGTTATTTGTTGAAAACGTTTGTTTTTTTTTGTGCTTGGGCCTGAAAACAGGTTTTGGTCTTTGGTTTCATTGTATACGTAGTTCAGTATTGTATAATAACTGTAAAAAATAAAGCTAACTACTTCACGGATTTCACCTATCACTGGTTCTTTTTGGAACGTAACCCCCGCGATAAACGAGGGATTACTGTACATACAAAAGACGCAAATAATGCGCATCAGCAATTCATATTGATGTGCAGGAGGTATGGCTGAAATTTTATGTGTGTAAAGATTCGGAGTATCATTTCCTTCATACAACATACTGGTATTCGTTTTTTTACAGTTAAGATAAAATGACGAGGAAACCAGATTCACATACTGTGTGTACTGTACACTCAAATGAAACAAATGAAAATAATGATTGTGTGACTGCATCATCACTGGAGATGCAACATTGGTCAAGAGGTGTGTCAATCATGATAGAAGTACAGTACTACTGTTTTGGTGGTGTGTCCAAAACAAGTAATTTCAGTAACTGTCAGTTACTGAAGTAATTTCATGACGCACCAAGGATTACGATGAGGACCAGTCTACATCATATGCGTACATAACAATTAGCAGGGGGTGACCTGGTGGTCCAGTGGTTAGCGCGTCGACCTCCTTGTCTGGAGTTTGCATGTTCTCCCCAGGCCTGCGTGGGTTTTCTCTGGGTACTCGGGTTTCCTCCCACATTCCAAAAACATGCATGGAAGGTTAATGGAACACTCCAAGTTGTCCCTAGGTGTGAATGTGAGCGCAGATGGTCGTTCATCTGTGTGCTCTGCGGTTGACTGGCAATCTGTTCAGGGTGTCCCCCGCCTACTGGTTGAAGACGGCTGGGATAGGCTCCAGCACCCCACCACGACCCTTGTGAGGATAGGCGGATCGGAAAATGGATGGCTGGATGGATAACAGCTAGCAGGTAAATACTTTTTGTTTGTGTCCCAGCACTAGTAGGTGCAAAGGCCCTTTTGGAATCGCCAACATTATGATTATTATTCTTGGGACTAATGAATGGCCTTTTTAGGGGCACAACATGCCTGAAAACTCAACAATATTTGCAATAGTGTGTACCCTGAAGAAAATGTTTAGTGCTTCCAAACACAATCTCAAAAACTCAGGGCTTGAACATTGACAAACAGCATTTAGGGAATTGGTCCCAAATACACCCTATTCGGAGGCAGCCTTTGTGGGCCAAGCATGGTGTCAAAATTCCATGATCGTCCTGAGGATTTGCTCTAAAGAATGTGACTGTTAATTGTAGCTTTAATTCTTAAAAAAAAAAAAAAAAAAAACTCACTGTGTGTGTGCATGCGTCCGTGCATATATACAGTATATGTACATATGTACACACTATATACTGTATATACATTCATTCATTTTCCGGTGCTGGGGAACCAGAGCACCTTGATGAAAAATGGGCGACTGGAACAAAGCGGAGATGGGCAAGATGCGATAACATGGCTCTGTTGGAATGCTACTACTCAAGCAACCCTAGTCAGAGGGGTTACATGCAGAGAATGCAGGCTGAATGGTTACTTCGAAACCCACAGTCACGGTTGACCACGAAACAACTAGTAGCTCAGTGTTCCAACATCCACAAACGGCAATTACTGTCACAACTTGAGATTGACGAGGTACAACGCAGGG